ATGTAAGAGACATTCTTCCCACTGACCCCCAATGTAAGAGAACATGTCTCAGCTGAACATCAACATAAGCCAGTATTTCCTCACTGATTACCATGGTGACGGGAGAGGACTGTAGTGGTCCCCGGACAGCACACTTTTCCCCGGTAGCTGCACTCACCTGACTCAGGATCCTCCCGCACTTTCCTCCGGTCTTCTCCATCAGATTGAAGATCGGGAAATTCCAATTGTCCAACTTCTCCAGCAAGACGTCCTGATCCTCAATGAGCAGATCCAGAGAAGTTTCCTCCTCAATCTAATAAGGTGAAAAAAAGAAAACGGTTTAGAAATATAATCTCCTGCGGCCTGCGAGCGCCGTCATCCCGACCCAGGTGATAGAATGACTTTGCGGAGATACGTTCTTACAAGTCGTCTCCTCATCGGAATGTCGCGCTTTCCATTAGGAAAAGAGAACTGGTCTCTAGAGCAAGAGTCGGGGTCACCATCAAAGTAACAGAAATTAATGTCCCGCGTTCTTGTATTTCCTGTGCAAATTATTAAAGGAGAACTACGAGGCGAGAGATTTACACTCCTAGTTAGAGCCAAGGTGTCACGGGTCGGCTCCATAGCTTGGGAAATGAGGGAACGCATACCGTCGCTCGCTCACTTCTCGATCCTGTCCCTGCAGAGAACCGTGTCAGTCACTGCTCCCCGCAGGGATTCCCCCCTTCACTGGGGGAACGGATGGGGGAGGGCCTCATACCCTGATGAAGCGGCCCTTTTGAATGCCGTGAAACGCGTTGGCTCTTACTTGGAACTTTGCAACTGTTTGTTTTTTTTACTATTAAAGCCTTGTGGGCTCTCTCCTCTCACTGACTGTAAGGTTGGTGGCCGGTGTCTGTGGTACCTCGGGCTGCTGGTTAGTCGGCGTTTTCTCCGTGTATTGTGCGTCGTCCTCCGCTAACGTCCTGCGGTCTCCCTGCATTCGGTTTTCCTGAAGTTTGTCCTTTAAGTGCACAGATTCGGTCTGATTGCTGGAGAATTCACCTTCACAGGCCAAGCGCAGAGAGAGAGAAAAAAAAAAGATTAACTTTGTTAAACGTGCGATTTCCGAGGCTGAGATCTTCCGATACATTTCTAATGAAAAGAATTCCTTTGTGATCTCATGTTGTATAATCATGGAATGCATGTCATGTGACCGACCTGATTTCCTGGCCTGGCTCTCAGGACCGGGCTGCACGCTGGTGTCCGCCGTGGATTCGGAACTTGAAAAAGACTTAAAAATTTTGTGTCCACAACTGGAGGAGAGAAAACACAATGGCGGATGTAAGACGTGGATGTGCGACAGTCAATCTCCATGCTGGAGGAAGAGCTTCGCATACAAGACTTGGGCTATAGATACAGTGACGTCACTAAGGGGGTGTGGCCTACACCTGGGTGACACCATAGGAGGGGTGACAATAAATGGCTCACAATCATTTTGGTGTCACCCCCCCCCCCCCCCCCCTCCAA